GGGGGAAAGGCACCATGTTAACAGACAGCTTGCGAAGATCGGCATTGAGTTGACCAGGGAACCTCAGGCAGGTGGTAACGCCACTCATGGTAGCAGACACAAGGTGGTTGAGATCACCGTAGGTTGGGGTGGTCAACTTCAGGGTGCGGAAACAGATGTCATAAAGAGCTTCATTGTCGATGCAGAAGGTTTGATCTGTGTTTTCTACAAGCTGATGAACAGAGAGGGTGGCGTTGTATGGCTCAACGACAGTGTCTGAGACTTTGGGAGATGGGACAACGCTGAAAGTGGTCATCATTCGGTCTGGGTACTCCTCACGGATCTTGCTGATGAGAAGTGTTCCCATGCCTGAGCCAGTGCCACCACCAAGGGAATGCGTCAGTTGGAATCCCTATAATAAAGAAAGGAATACTGTCGTGTCGTTTGGCACTGTAATGTAGTCTTTACAACCAGAGGCAATGTTAAAGTGATAGTATCAGACGACAAGCCGTTAGATCGGCTGATATGAGTACCACTCACATTCACCCTTCAAAGACTAGTCGAAATGCGTGCACCTATCTGATGGGAACCGCTGAAGTTTGAGAACAGCGTTTCAGCTGGCATAAGCACATCGTGTGCATCCCTGTAACGAATTTAAGGCCAGCATGTACTACACATAGGCCTACACTCCGTGAAACGGCAATAATTTTTTTTCCAAATTGTTACTTTTTAGGAAGCTTTCTTAATATTGCAAATGTAAGTATTTCTGTATGTCTCCTCTTCACACCCCCCCCCCATTTTGTTACCCCGAACATACCTGAAGGCAATCACAGCTCTCTGCTTCCTTCCGCACAACATCCAGTACGGAGTCCACCAGCTCAGCCCCCTCGGTGTAGTGACCCTTGGCCCAGTTGTTTCCAGCTCCACTCTGTCCGAAGACAAAGTTGTCGGGTCTGAAGATCTGACCAAATGGACTAGAGCGGACAGAGTCCATGGTGCCTGGCTCCAGGTCGACCAGTACGGCTCGGGGCACATATTTGCCGCCGGTAGCTTCATTGTAGTAAACGTTGATTCTCTCCAACTGCAAGTCGGAGTCACCGTGGTATGTACCGGTAGGGTCCACGCCATGCTCATCAGATATCACCTCCCAGAACTGTTTTGAGACACAAACAAATTTTGTTTTCATTACATTTGCAGAAGATGACAAATAGGTTCGACACTGGTTTGTATGGCATTTAATAGCTTACAAATACTTGTTAAGAAACTTTGTTAACGTTGCATCTGTTGTTTGTTTTAATTTCCCGTTTTGGGGGCGCAAGTACTGAAGATACATGAGGGGGCTTTTCGCACACCTTTTGAAGGAAGGGAAATGAAATGGATTCCAAAATATCGGCATTCTTTCAATATTTTTCCAAAATAAATTGACCCCAATCGTTCCCCGGATCCAAAAACTGGAAATTATCTTCGCTCGTTGTACAGTGCTCACAGTACAGGGCGCTGGGAAGGGCAACCGCGCTTCACAAACTCTCACAAAGGAAATACGTCACAACTACGAAGCACAAAGCATTGTGGGTTACTTGCTGTTGTAATAACGCATGTATGTCACGCAGTGTGACTTTGTTTAATGTTCGAATGAACTCTGTCCAATGAGTGCGTGACAAAAATTGTCATGATTTGTACTTCCCAGGCAACGAGCGAAGAAGTTATCGATCGTACCAAATATGGCCGACATTTGTGAAGTGATCGATGGATTTAATACAACGTAATCCTTCTGCTGTCGGACGACCATCCAGGACACAAATTAAAAGTTTCGCTTGTAATTTCCCCATACACCTGTGCAGCGCTTTCAAGAAAAATCGACAGTATTACAATTTGCTCTCCATTATACCACTCCGTCAACAAGCGAATGAATGCAAGGGACAAGCAACATTTCCTCGGAATTGAAATTACATGCAGATTAAAAAACAAATTGCAGGCAGGCCAAGTTTGGAGTTTGGCCATAAATGGGCTAGTCCATGAACCTTTGGCAGTTTGGGTGAGAATGACTATCTTTTAAACGTAATTTGAACAAAGTTTTGCCTCACTAACCTTGGAACCGATCTGGTTGCCACACTGGCCGGCTTGCATATGTACAATTTCACGCATTTTGTCGAGTGAATTCAAGGTAATTTACAGACGGAATGAATGACCAGCGGCCCTTGTCTCCCAACCGTCGCTGACGAATGTTGATTTGAATTTGATGAAGAGATCAGTTAAGTCGTCTCTTATGTAATTTTATAAGCCATTTAAATAAAATCATTCCACTGAAGAGTTTGCAAAGAAAAGTAGTGCGGTCGAAACTCCCAAATATCGGCGACATTTGAATCTCTTCGATTGTATTTGACAAAACAAACAAGCGAATTTTGATTTTAGGTAATGCTAAATGAAGAAACGAAGACTAAAAGCTTTTGCCTTCTTAAGACACTGAATTTGTCGGGAAATCTAATAATTATGAGAGAACGTTATTAATGCGCATAGTCAAGTAGTCAGCCAATGTGTAGATGGCCCCTTATACCGCTATGTCACGTCGAATGACTTGGCGATGCAGGGAACCATGGAAATTTCTCAAGGGTCCCAAGCGGTTAACAGTCTAACCTTTATCGCGGATTACGAGCGGGTCTACGGTACAATCATTTGGGCAAATATTTTGTCACCAAAGCACCACTCAGCCCTGGTGACGGTTACGGTTTTCCAAAAGCATTATGCATCAGTCATCTTAAAGGCTTTGTTGCTAATGACACTGGCAAGCAAAAAGGTTCTGCATGGCTTGGATGTCATGCACAAAAATAGTAAAATTATGACAACCCATGAAGGACGAGCCGAATTTGTCAGACTTCTGCTCTTTGGTCATAAACACGGTGGTAATAACAACAACCTAGTATACAATGGCTTTCAATCCTTCTTCCCCCTGAAATTCTTTCATTTTAGTCCCTCTGGCACTGCTCCCAACTCCTCTCATTTCGATCGTTTCACTACTCAGTCTCTAATATCTCTAATATGGCTCTGCATATCATGACAAAATTTTTAGACTCGGGACTTTTTCCAGCTCCTTGCAAGAGAGATAAAATCTTCTGTGTGAATTTGAAAACACACTTAAGGAAATGTTCAAACGTTTGATTTTCGAGATAACTGACCTTTTCGGCTCAAAACAACTCGCCTGCAAGTCTCGTCTAAAATCGAGCGCCAATTCAAGTATAAACTTCCGTTTGATTTCGCTAATGAAAAATTTCAGGCAACGCTCAAATTGATGGGCCAGATTAACCTAATAGAGATTTTTTTCACAATCGAAAAAGGGCTTCATGGAATTTTGGGGCTAAAATTCTTCAACTGTGCGTAAATTCCCTATGCTCAGGGGTGAATTTGCCCATAGATTTGATTTTAGTCGGGCATTGTGCAGATCATGGAATACTCCAGTAGTTTTGAATAGGATCCGGTGGTCTATGCGTTTTCTGTGTTAATGAATTTTGACGTATACGCGTCTTTTGATTGGCGGATGACACCTCCTTACTCAAGCAATATTCACGCATGAATTGATCTAATGATCTTCACTGAAAGAAATTTTCTCAGTTTCAATAGGCATGGATGCGCTATCTGTTAAATATGAACACGCTTGAAATCATTACCTGCATGGAGTAGGCTAAACTTCGCTGTTGGAATATAAGCTGATAAGCTTCACGGAAATGCAAGATAGAAGGCATCACATGTACATATTGCCTTTCCCACATGAATGTACATTTATGGCCATGTGTCCTATGGAGCTGGAAAATAAATTTTAAAAAAGAGAAAGAAAGAAAAAACCCAGAATACACTATGTACGAGATCCAACTTCAACCTTGTTCAACAACGGAACATTTAAAACTAAAGAGTCTGGAATGCAATTTTGTATTCATCGGTTTATTGATTGATTGATATTTACTGTTACTGTTAATCTCATAACGACGCAGACCAGTTGTCTACAAATCTGTTGTACGTGTACCAATCAAAACAGCGCCCTCATCGGAGAAAAAGTATATTTATTCTACACAATGTTTGTGAGCATACACCATAGTGTGGATGTGTGATAAAGAAATGATCACAACAGTCACTCCTTGGGAATGTATCAATTTGAAAACTAGACTCCTCTTCCTAGTTTTACGCCTTCAATAATGATAGTTCCAAGATGGTAAAAATGATACTCATCGTTAATTGAGAACTACGTACTACCTTGCATTAATCAGGAAGCATGGCATATGGGTGACAACGCATAAAAAAGTTGAATCATCCTTGTTAGTTTTGGACTAAGCAGGAAAAATATACGCTTAAAAGATGTGCAAAACCGGGGGTTCGGGTGTCCGTAGTACTAAACATTAAAACGTGTTTTATCTTTAAAGAAAAAAATGTGAATCGGTAATTACAAATAAGTCCACACCCAGTCCCCCAAAGTTGTCAATTAATGATTAAATTTCAAAAGTTGAGTTTACTTTCAAGCAGCTCACTAGGCCTTCGGCAAATTAGTTGTAAAAGGTTGATAGACCACCACCACGAGACATTATGCATCTTAAAAAGTAGGTTTAACTGTGATTAAAAAAAATCCATGACAAATTAACCCTCAAATTAACTATAGATCTTAATGTCTTACTAAAATCTATAAGTTTAAAGATGATAATAATTTTAAGATGATAATTTTACATTTTGGTGAGAGAGCAGACGCTTAACTAAGACAAATTAGCACACTGTAGATAGAATAATCATGGTACATAATTTACGTGAAAGAAGAAAAACCAAGAAATGAAAGTTATTATTAAAGATTGTACAAAATGTTTCAAGGTTAACTGCAATAGTTTAACCGTGGTTAGAATTTTAAATTGATTTATTATTTCTTCATATTCGTGATCAGAATGTTTGTCCATTTGTTTTCAAGCGGCGTCCTCGTCTCCTTCTT